TTTTGTCTGGTATAAAGTCTGTTTGTATTTCATATTTTATTGCCCACTTTTAAAAAGACAAAATACAGTTGTTGTTGTAGTTGTTGTAGTGATAGGTCTTTTTTTTATTATTCCTGATAGCTGTACTGGAAAAAGACTATGATTTCCTGAAAAGTTCATTTCACACCTACAAGGTAAGGAAAGTGTCTGTTGTGCCTGGAAGTTTTCTTACTCACCCCTGTTTTTCTTTTAGAAAAGGCCTCAGATAAAAATTAAGAAGCTGTAAAGTCACTTTTCAGATGTATTATTTTATTTTACACACTCAAGGTGTCTTGTATGTTTGGTTCCCTTTAATGTAACAAAAGAATAAGAACATTCTTTTGCGTAAATGACTTCTGTTTATTGACATAATCATGCAAACTGCCAAAGAGACAAAAGTGTTTATAGTATATGCAGTGAATACTCTTTAAAATATCTTTTAGTGTTTTTGTTTTTCTGGGGGGGGGTCTGTTTTTCTTTTTTTATGAAGATAGTACCGAACCCTACACATACACTTTTCTGCACAGTTGTATTGGCTCAGACAGATTTTCAGATCCATTCAAATGTCATTGCAGGAAAAAAAAAAAGTCACTTTTCCCTACAGATAATGCCAATCTCTTCCCACAGGAAAGCATCTCTGAGGAAATGCAGGAGAAATGGTTCCAAAAGGAGAATCAGTGGAAATTGAAGCATGAAAAAGAACAACAAAAACAATTAAAAAAAGGTGAGGCTCGCTGCAGTATTTACAGGCCAATCATTGATGTGCACTTACTGTAAATATATACTATGTCTATATATTGAAAGCCCTCAGATTGAATGCAGGCTGCGACTAATTTTGAGGCCCTGCTTCTGTGGTTCTTGACAGAACAGGAGTTGCAGGAGCAGTTTCAGAAGGAGATGGACCAGATGAGAAAGTCGTTTGAGATTCAGATCGCAGCCATCGACAGGAGCCACCAGGTGGAGACTGAAGCAAATGGGTTCTTTCTCCTATTTCGACACAGTCCCTATCTTTACAAACACTGTGAATACCTGATTCTCCTGC